CACGAAACATCTAACCCTTTGCCAGACCCAGCTGGTTCACAGAGCCAAGTGTTGTGTTTTTGTTGGCTTATTTTTTTTTAAAATACTTTTGGATTTTGTCAGTTTAATGTATTTTTGAAGTCATTCCAGGGCCAAGTTTTATCAAACCTTTTATTAACTGCCTATCTGGAGAATGGCTGTCTAAAATCAAAATGCCACTCGAATCTCAAATTCACTTCTGCAACCACCAGAATAAGCTGAAGCAGGAGATAAACACTTATGTTCTCAACATTCCTAAGAAAGTTTTCCAGACCCCGTTAGTATGTCCTAAGTAGCATTTTAAAAATGGAAATACATCTATAAATCGCAGATAGTTAAGTATGAGACTTGTTTCAAGTAGGTATAAGGACTGAAACAAGGTTTAAAAGAAAAATTTTAATGAGTATCATGGTGCAGAAGTACGGATACAAACATGGGGATGCAAACACGGATGATGCTCCCAGGAGGCTTAAGTCCAGTTGAGACAGGTCAGGGCGAAAGCACAAAAGATGAATATCTGGTCAGTATTCGAATATCAGTCTGGAGTTTATGCAGAACAGTCACGCCCTCCAAATCTCAGCTGCTGAGGACTTGGAGCCTCAGGACCCCACGTGTGCCAAATACAAAGGTGCTCTCGAGTCCGCTAAGCCCAGCTCCTCCAGGCGCTTCTGCTACCCGTACCTGAGGGTCGGAGGGGCCTGTGGCCCAGGTCTAGCAGGGCGGTTGCGCGGGTGCCTTGGCCGAGCCTGCAGCCTCCCAGGGCTTGGGCCTCCGCGGGAGCCGAGAAGCCGTGGGATCGCCATGGGTCGCCGTGATGTGGCGCCTTTCCAAGCCGGGAAGCTCCTGGCCCTGCTGGACCAGCTGTAGAAGCTGTGCCAGGGTAACCGAAGCCGGGGCTGTCTCAGGGGGTCTGGGAGCTGGGGACGACCCTTTCTGACTGCACGGCGGGTCCATGGCCCTCGCGCAGCTACCAGCGAGCGGGGAAGCAAACACTTCCGGGCGGAGGGGGTGCAACCATTGTCGGAGGGGATTCGGAACACACCAAGCCGACCCAGAAAGGGGGAAGCGTTTGAGAACTACATGCACGTGCATGCAGACACGCCAATGCTGGCCAAAAGACATGTTTGCGCACACGCCTAGGCACCGCACACGTACCTACTTTTATGCACACGCAGAAGTGTGCACTGTACCAGGTACACATGTATAGACACGTGGCAGGGGGATAATCTTCATCCCTGGCTTCACGGCACCCGGTAGATTATAGCTGTGGAGCTATCTCCAGTGGTCTCAGGGGAACTGGGAATACGTGACATCACTGCAGAGCCTCGCCATTCTCTTCCCATTTCCTGCCATCAAGACGACTCTTGGTGTCCCCAAAGGGAATGAGAGAAGATGAAGCCAGCCCAAGTGTGCCACAGTGTCTGGCTGCTTAGAAAGTCAGTGCCAGTAAATCTCAGGTTTCTGAGTTTATGGAATGCTAGCCTGGTCTGGCAAACACGACCTTAATCAGGTAATCAGATTTTAATTGCTATTAATAGGACAAACTGGCACCATTGTGTCTCCTGATGTGGTGCACTGAAGACACTACAGATGTAGGAATACTACTTCTCTTCTGTACTTGCCAAAAATGTTCACTCTGAATCTGATCTTGAGTAAATGAACAAACCAAAGTGAGGGTCATCCTGCAAAATGACTGGCCTGGACACTTTAAATGTTAATGTCATAAAAGACAAAGAAAGAATGAAAAAGAAAAGACTAAGGCACTGTGTCAGACTAAAGGAGATATGAAAAATGCAAAGTATGATCCTGGGTTGGATCCAAAGTAAGGTAAAATCAGTTATGGAGGACATTTTATCCTTGGGAAATTTTGAATATGATCAATATATTAGATGATAGTATTACAGTAGTCCTCCCTTATCTGCAGAGAGTACCTTCCAAGAATTCTGGTGGGTGCCTGAAACCATGGATAGTACTGGACCCTATTTATACTATGTTTTTTCCCCATACATAAATACCTACGATAAAGTTTAATTTATAAATTAGTCATAGTAAGATATTAATAATAACTAATAATAAAATAGAATAGTTATAACAATATGCTGTAATAAAACATGTGAATGTGGTCTCTATCTGATAACCCATCTGATAACTGAAAAGGCTACTAAATAAGTAAGAGGCAGGTAGCACATACAGCGTGGATACACTGGACAAAGGGTGATTCACTTCCTGAGTGGGATGGTGCTAGACAGCTCGAGATTTCATTACACTACTCAGAATGGTGCACAATTTAACTTATAAATTGTGTATTTCTGGAATTTTCCATTTACTATTTTCAGGCTGTGGTTGACCACCAGCAACTGAAACTGCAGAAAGTGAAACTGTGGATAAGGGGGACTACTGTAGATCAATGTTAAATTTCTTGAGTGCAGTACTTGTGCTCCTGTTATATGGGAGAATGACTTTGTTCATACAAGATACATGCTGAAGTATTTAGAGGTGAAGTGTCATAATGAGAGAGAGAGCGAGCGAGCGAGAGAGAGAGAGAGAGAGAGAGAAGAAATTGTTAAGAATTGGTTCAGAGAGACAGAGAGACAGAGAGAGAGAGAGAAAGGAAATTGTTAAGAATTGGTGAATTGGTGAGTCTAAATGGTTTGATAGTTGTCAAAATAAAAACCTGGAGGAGGAGCTTGAGAAGCCAATCTAGAGGAAATTTACTACACTAAGTGTTGTATAATAAAGAATTCGGCCTTGCTCCCTTATTCCTGGGAGGGAGACTAAATCCTTGCAATTTTCCAAGTATTAGGAGTGATAGTCATCATGAGCCCTGATAGTTCATGCCAACAGGATGACTCATGGTAGCCCCTAAATAGTTTCAGGACAGGGCTGGTCATGCAGAAAAGACCAACCATGTCATTAGAGGGTTGGGGCTTTGAGCCATGTGAGGTCCAGGGAGGGTAGGGGGCCTGAAGATTGAGTTCAATCTCCAGTCAATGATTTAATTAACCATGCCTATGTAATGAAACTTTATTACATAGTAAAAACTCGGGATACAAAGCTCGGTAGAGCTTCCTAATTGGTGAACATGTTGATGTGTCAAGAGGGTGACATACCCTGATTCCATGAGGAGAGGAAGCAGAAGCTGTGCATTCGGGACCCTCCCAGACCTTGCTCTATGCACCTCTTCATTTGGCTGGTCCTACTGATTTATGTCCTCTCTAGTAAAACTACTCATAAGAATAGAACTTTCCTGAGTTCTGTGAGTTGTTCTAGTGAGTTATTAAACCTGAAGAGGGTCGTGGAATTCCCCAAATTTGTACCCAGTCAGTCAAAAGTGCCCGTGGCCTGGGGACCCCTCTGAACTTGTAACCGGTATCTGAAGTAAGAGCAGCCTCGTTGGGGACTGTGCCATTGAATTTGTGAGATCTGTACTAACTCTGGGTAGTGAGCACTAGAATTAAATTTCAGTACACCCATTGGGTGTACTGAAACAAAACAGTGAATGAAGGAAGAACTCATCCTTCTTCTCTCTGTGGCCTGAATCAGTTTCCTGGGCAATCTCCTGCGTCAAGTTAACTGTCTTTCTCAGACATCCTTGACCTGTTCCACTCGCAACATCCTAGCTGGGAGCAGAGGGGGCTCTGGTTTTCTGTGCCACCACTGCCTTCTTTCCTACCAGCCAAGTGAAAGATGCAAACTTCTCTATGAGGTCAAAACCAGCCTTGGGTGTCCTCACAGGTACAGTAAGGACCAACTTTTCTCAGCATTAGGGAGAGTGATATGCATGTATTTGGGCAGTGAGGAGTTGTCTCCACATCATCATTTTTTCTTCTCTCACATAGTTTCATTTTATCTTCAGCACAACTCCATAAGATGGGCCGGATGCACCTAGGAATTAGGCTTTGTTAGGAGGAACCTCAAACACCACTGATCCCAACTCTCATACACAGAGCAGTAAACTGAACCCATGAAATAGAGTAACAGAGCTGGGGTTGGAACCTGGGCCTCCCCACTCCTAACCTAGTGCTCCCTCCTTATCCCAGGCTGCCTCCCCTTGATGGAAGACAGAGGAACCTGCCCTATGGGCAGCCATTCTGAGTTTGAGTACTGCCATACATATACATGCAGAAGGCAGGAAGGCAAAAGGAAAAAAACTGAATAAGCCCACGGGCAGGGGCAAAGGTATTTCCCTTCCAGGCATATCTACAGCCTGCTCCTGCATGGGTTTGGAACTTGGAGGCCAAGACGTCATTCTGGCAGCAGTGTCAAGACCAGGTATCAACCTCTAAGTTTAGAGATAGGCTCCAAACACCTGAAGTTCATTTTTAACTCATTAGACATCCATGATTTTTAAAAGTCTATCTCAGCCGTAAATGTCCTTCCCTCTTCCTCATTTATTGAAACCCAACTCATCCTTCAAAGGCTTCTCCTCAATAGACCCACCCCTTCTATCATTGCCATCAGAGTTAATTGATCCTTTTTTTGTGCTCCCACAGCCCCTTGTTCATCTCACCATCAACACGTTGTATATTAGATTAGACCATGAGTCTTACTCATCTAGTATCCCTGTGTGCCTAGACTAGCACCTGTAGAGACCTAGTGGTGCTCAGAAAATGTTAACTAAATGACTGACTGAATGAATGAATGTATTGTTATAAATTCAAGGAGAAAAGATTGAATTCAACACCGTACAAGCATTCATTGAGAACCCACCTTACGCTGTGTACAGTGCCACATGCTTAGTGCACAGGTCCCTGTCCTCAAGGGGCTCACAGCCTACCCAAGGAACAAGCCATAGAAGTAGAACTAAGTTATGATAGTTATGATATACACATATTATATAACTTATTATATAAACCATATAGTACAGTACGTGCTGTGGTAACAGTGTTATGTGCTAACTGAAAGCAGCCTATGCATTTTACTGGTTTTTAAATGTATCTGATCTTAGCACAAATGTGTATGAGCTGCTCCTATGGTCAACCTTTTAGCCCGTAGTCTGGCCCAAGCCTGACTGGAGCCCAACTGAGCCCAGGTCCTAATCCACCTCTGGCACTTATGAGCTATGGGACTTTAGAGCAAGTTATTTTACTTATCTGCACTTCAGAAGTCCTATCTATAAAACAAGAGTGCCTGCCTCACAGGGTTGTCCAACACATTAACTGCCTCTGTGGGCAGTTAGTAATATTCTTATCAGATGAGTAGTGATCTGAGGCTGGCTCTCTTCAGTTGGCCCCTACAGGTCCTCTCTGGACCCTATTCCACCCAGCCTCCTGGATAGTGACATCTACAGACACCTTCAATGGGCTCCCTTACTCTGACTTTTTGGTTCGGACAATGGGGAGCCCAGCAGAAGAAAGGAGGAAAAGGAGGTCAACGTATTTATTCTCCAGTTCCCCTCCCTATAGGGTCACCACTGGCTGGGGCCCTCCATACAGCTCTCTGGCTTTGGGGTCCCACCATTGCTTCCTCCTCTCATTCCTTCAGGCCTGTTACTAGTCCTGGGTACTGCATTGTCCCTTGGGATTTCCCTTCACGCTGCCACACCTCTGTAAATAGTCCTTTTACTAAATTCTCCTCTAATTACCCAATATAAGTATGTCACCTATCGCTTGTCCATACTCACCAATATAGGAATTGGTTCCAGGAACAGCCTCAAACAGGATACGGGGGTTGGATTGATTATAAATTCAAGGAGTGCGGGGGAAGCCTCCTTGCAGAGGGGGAAATGCACCCAGGTAATCCACGGTGATGCGAAGGTATCACCATTACTCAAGTTATCATTGGGGCTGCATGGGCTGAAGCATAGGGTATTGTATTGTTGGGGTGGGGAGTTGGCTCTTCTTCACTACAGCGTGGAGTCATTTGGCTTCTGATGGCCACAAGGAATGTGCATGGGGAAAGGAGAACTGGAAGTTTATTGATTTCTGACAGGAAATGTGAATGAGCAATCAAGACACCTTGATAGCACCTTGAAGGAGTCCCTAATCTTCAATAGGCAGAGCAGGCTCATGTGGTCGAGGACCGGCGCCAGGATGTTATTGTAAGGGTTGCTAAGTTCCAGTGCTAATTAAATGCTCAGTCCTCTTGGTCGCTTATACTAAGGTATGGGCATTGATACGGAATGAATGGGACACTGAGTTTGAATGAAACATTTGGGCAGACACAGACAAGGCTGAGGACTTTAAATCCCCAAATTCTCTTAAAGTGGTCTGATCTGTGGAGACAATCTCCTCTTGTAGTGGTCCTGTCTCCTAGGACATTAGCCTCAGAACCATTTCCCCCTCTATCCCTTCTTGGCACCAGGCCCTTCGTGACTTAAAGATGCCTGGGTAGAGAAACACAAGGCCCACGCTAAGAGGAGAATGCCCAGATTGAAAGAGTTATAGGCTTTGCCAAAGTGCCTTGGCAGGAGCCATGGGAACAT